TGACATTTTCTAACACTTTCATAAATAAAGGAAAGTAAGTACATAAATAAAGGAAAGTAAGTAGAACGAGTTGTGCACGTGAATTAATCATGAGTATGGGGAATTAGTATAGTTATTGAATGCTAAATATTAGACTTTTTTGACTGTAATTAGCTGAATTCAGTTTGCCAATTTTAACTGGTAATAGCTGCTTTGTGTAGTTATTTGTACTTCTTCTTTGCATGTCCTAATAAACACTATAGTTGAGTCAAGAAGTCTTGTGTTGAAAGTGCTGGTTTTGAATTAGAGCATATCAGTGTTTACGTACACTTTAATTCTAAAAAGCTATCTATTGGAAGAGGTAGTTTTGGCCAGTAATCGAGTATATTAATGGATTGATATCTCCTGAATGACTTTGTTGCTAGGATCGGTAGGTAGGGTGAGATATACGTTTCACCGAGATGTGAGTAGAATAAGACACTGAAGTCAAGTCTCAAGTCTATCTATTTCCCTTTTATCCTTTTCCAAAGACCAGAGTTAGTACATACGTTCTAGAATTAAAATTAGCAATTTATTATGCAGTCGAGAGAGCATATTCCGTTCAAGGTAGTTTTTAGACCTTGAAAATTCATTAAAATATCTATTTTAACAATATTCTCAAAGATTGTAATTTAATACAGATACTTTAAATTTGTTTCAAATCTTATAAAATTTATGTTTATTGCAATACCAAAACTACAGATCAGATAGAAATAAAGGAATCAGTTTTGACAAGGTAAATCTATCATTTATGGTGCAATAATTTGAACTAAAAGAGCTATGAAAGTAGCCTATCCACTGAACTCAAGTATGGTGTACAAGGTGAAATTTAAAGATTCCGTGCACCTTTTTGAATATGACTGCAATGATAACAGATCTTTTCCAACGAACTTACTACAAACTTAGTTCATCCGCTTTTTTTTCGATTGAAAATTTTGCAAATACGATTTAATTTTTACTTTTAAATATTTGAATCCATTTTTGTAACATTTTGCCACTAACATAATTTTATTTCATACAGTAGATCAATTTTCAGCAGGACAGAAAATTGCGGAACTTTGTGTGTACGTGTGTGCCGTGTAAAATGTGTTAGTTGATCAAATGTGAAAAGCAAACATAGTTGAGATTATTGCAAAATAACTTTGTTCATAAGCAGTAATTACAAGGACACACAGTAATTACAAGGGCACAATGTATCACACTAGAACATTACAATAATTCAGTTAACAAATAATTAAAACTAAGGAAACACAAATTTATCACTGAATCAAGTACAAAAATTCAATGCAAGAGTTTTGCATTCAATTAAGATATACATAGATGAGTTTTAGATTGAAGCAGGCTTGAATATATTGAGTTTTGAAAATTACTAATTATAAGAGATCTAATCATAATGGACTCACCTTACCAGAAGCACATACTTTGCACAGTATCTGAGATAAATGTGTTGCTCTCACTTGGCGCTAGCACTTTTTAGGAGGGAAAATATGATCTACACTACGTGCGAATGCGTGCCTTCTGATTATCAAACGTGAATATGTATTTAGTATGCATATTATATGCACTGACATATGTGCACGCATGTCATCTAACATGTCAGTTATTTCTGTGCAAACCATGAAAAATACATATCCTTCTTTTCGCATTATCATAAATTTTGCAAATATACGCATATACGTCATAGTACACGTACACGTCATCCAGCAGATGTAAGAGATACATTATTTTTCTTACAGTACGGTTTTATTCATAATAAGTGTGCTTTTTACTCTCTTAGGTGCTATATTTTTGCTATTTTACGGTTAATTGTTGGCAAATACTGTGTACTAATTTTAGATAACTTTTCGAAGTAGGCATAAATGTTGATCCTTATTTTCGGAATGTCCCGTAAAAGACGTTGATTAGTAGGGACCAGTTTTTTGGGTAGGAAGTGTGATACTGCACAGAATTCTTATGGATACAAATGTTGAAGGATCGGAAAAATTTGTTCAACATGAAATCATTAATGATGAGATCAAGTGATTTAAATGGCAAGTTATTTTATTTTGTTGATAAGCGTACTATTTTTGATAAAATGACAAAACTCAATTATATAATAGTCATTTCCGTCAGCTATTCTACTGAACTGTTATTTTATAAACTATAAAAGTGCAAGTCTGAATTTCACCGATGAAAATTTCAGCAAGGTCCTTTACTATATTTCAGGCAGTGCATTTTCCTTTCATTCAGATGCGCTTTCATTCCCGCTGAATATTTTTGTCAGAAACATTACAGGTCCCATTTAAGAATAGAAATATGTACTTACGAAATAAATTTACGACATCTGCAGCAAAAAACCATAGATACTGCTTCAAGATGTGGAGCGAAATTTGAAGATGGTGCAGATAAAGGCAAAGTGAGTTTTCGATTCAATTTTAGGTTAAGAAATATCGAATTGCTTTTTTTCGCGTGATCGCTTTATTCTGGAATCAAAAGATCTTAGCAAATATTTCACTACTTCTTTTAGGGTGTAATGCGTAGATGCGTGAATGTGAAATGTGTTGATTTTCATCAATACATTTCAGGATGAAGGATTGTGGGGATGTCGAGTGCTGAGATGTCAGAGTGCAATGATGTGAAAGTG